TCCATTATATTCATTATATTAAAAGATATTAATATTTGAGAGTATATACGATTAAATTTGAAAAAGTTTGAATCAGCAACTTACGATAACGTATTTTTTGCAATATACATATTTTTTAAATAATAGATAAATTTTTTATTCCATTATATTAAAAGATATTAATATTTGAGAGTATATACGATTAAATTTGAAAAAGTTTGAATCAGCAACTTACGATAACGTTTATGGCATATTTTTTGCATTATTAGACACTATCATTAAATAAATAGACATCTTGATAGTGATTGAATGATTTCATTGAAACTGATACATAGTCTTGTCGATATAAAATACGATTATTATATAATTATTATTTTATATGATGAATATTTTTTTGTAATAACTGTATAATGCATTTTATATCGATGAGACTCTCTCTACATATATGTCCTATTTCAATATTATATATGTACACACATACATACGCGCGCACATAACGTGGTGAACGCAAAATCAAATTGTTAAGATAAAGATAACGCTTGATGAAAGACCTTGATAAAAGAGAGAGAACATGAAGCAAATATGAATCAGATTGCTAAAAGTACGCTAAAAATTTCGAAAGTAAATATTATTGCTTCTGATAGGATTTTTGAACGATTATTTTATTTTATTATTTTAAATATGGGTAATATTACAGTTATATTAAATGTAAATCAGTTATTAAAAATATTATATACATTACTTTGTATATAACTGTTAAAAATGGACAATAAATTTAAAGTTTTTACATAACAGTAATAATATAATACATTTTAAAACAATTAAATGTATAATTATATTAATCAAAGTTTTAATATAAACTATATTAATCAAAGTTAATATAATTATGTAAAAAATTTAAATTCATTGCCCATTACTTTTAACAATTGAATACATAGAAATAAATAAATTAAATATATATATAAATAAATAATTGTAAATAGTGTTAAAATATTAATAAGACAATGATTAATGCTGATATTTCTAAACAAAAATCAAATATAATATTTCTGAGTAAAAATTAAATAATATTTTTCTAAATAAAAATTCTCCACAGAGATGAATAAAAAGTCATTTATTTACCTTTTTATAAGTTAAGAAGTCACACAATCTTTATATATTTTACTTTTATATAGCATCATAATACTTCTAAATATTAAATATCAGTTATACATATTAATCCAAAAATTTTAATTGTTGTATATATATTAATCAATCGTATTTTTGTCAATTGTCTTTTTTTAATTTTTGTTGTTTTTAAAGCTTTCATAATTTTATTAGTTTACATTGAAAATATATACACGCGATGATTTCTACGAGCTTCAAGAATATTAAGAAATTTCGTCAATAATCGAATTTATACATCGATTAATTTGCCAATTTTTTAGATAAACTCTGCGCACCTGTCGATACTATAAGTGATGACGCATGTTATGCTCTGCAACGAGGGGAAAGTAAAGTATCATGTTTACGCGTAGCGGACAGCGCTGAATGCGCTATTCGCTTAGTCCAAGGAGCGGCTGATTTCGGTGTTTTCAATGCGGAAGAACTCTTATTGACATATCAATTCTATCCGTTGGACATCCTACCTATTCTTCAATTGAGACACAGGGATAAGCTGGGAGGTAGTAGAAAACTTTAGAAAAATGTTCTGTAAAAAAAACAATTATGTTTGATTATTTTTAAGTGCAGTACTATTAGATTCCTTAATCATACATGCAAATGGAAGAAAATGAAAGCACGGAAAAAATTGCACTGTTTAAAAAGACAAGTAATGTATGAGCAACTTGTTTCTCTCTTAAGGTCATCTTCAAGATGATTTTAAGATCATTAGTACTTTTCCAAGTGCCACTACATATTTTTAACTTGATAGTGTTATAATCGGCGTTGCAACGAATTTAACGGTTTATTATTATTATTCTCGTGTATTTTATTGATATTTTGGATGTATGTAATAGTCATTAGATAGAACATATTTTTTGAACTATTACTATAAAATTCTGTTTATATATCAAATTTCCATTTTTTTAATTTTTTTTTATTTTTTGTTTCTCGTTTTTCAGAATAAAGTAGAGATTTAGTGAGAAATAAAATTATTTAAGATTAGTACATATAAAGTTTTATCAACCGCAAAATTAATAATTTAAATTTAAGCAAAATAGTATAATACATATATACCATATATGCATATATATATATGTGTATATATATATATACATATATATATGTATAAATTAAAATATGTAACTTTTTTAATCTCCTACCATTACAGATTATATGTATAAATCATAAATAAATACCTCTTTTATTAAAAATGGACTAAAAAATTTTAAATTATACCTTCTAATAGTGGCGATATTGAATGATGATGGTGTTGGCATTAGAATAAATGCACAATACTTTTTATAGTAGAATTGTTAAAAGCAAAACCAGAATTCTACTATAAGCCATTATACATTTAATAGTTATAAAAATATATGAGTATATATAAACATAATTCAACTTTCGCAGAGGATTTCGAATTTCAAACAGTGGCAGTGGTTCCCGCAGATTTTACGCAAAAAGTCGTTAGTCCTGGTGAACGCCTTAAACAATTGAAAGGTGGTGGCTTTTGCCATCCTGGTTTTAGTAAATCTCAATGGTGGAATGATTACATTCTCAAATATTTTGAAAACATTGTAAATCGTCCGCGTTGCCAAGAAAATGTAACTATCATCGAAAATGAGATTAGAAATCTTAAAGATTTCTTTGGAAAAGCTTGTAGACCAGGCGAATGGATCGCTGACAGCTCCTTTGATCAAGAACTAAGTAAGTCGAGAGATTCATATAGGAAAAAAATTTAGATTAATTGATATTAAAACATTTACACATCACAAAGATTACTACAAATTTGACATATATTGGAAATCGAAATTTCTAATAATGTATGTTTTGAATTACTAAGGATTGCTCTTCTGATTTCTGAGATTTATTATTTTAAGATAATAATATATCGCAATTTTTCATGATTTAATGAGCTAATCTAACTTATAATTTGTCTTAATTTAACAAAACTATCTGCCTTGTTTCTCATCGATATATTTATCTTTATTTTTGCACCAGAAATTGTTTTTTTTTTTCATTGTATTATGTCTTCTGAAATGATGCTATTAATTGTAGATTCTTTTAAGTTTCGTTAACAATTCCCAAAAAATTAATGCAAATATAATAATATTTAATATCTATTTTTCTTCACAGAAAATAAGTATCCAGAGCTATGCGATCTTTGTGATGATCGAACAGCTTGTACTTACAATAATATGGAAAAACACGGTCATTTAGGAGCATTGGATTGTCTAACTCATCGTAATGGCAAAGTCGCATATGTAGCGCTCAGCTACGTTCGTGAATATCTCAGAGTAAGTAGAAGATCCTGTTTTTAACATATGGATATATGTATATTTCATCTCAAATTCTAAAATTATTTTGTATAAGAGTCACTGTGTATTAATTTATTTATATTTGTTTATATATTCTTTGTAATTATATTATTGATTATTTTACTACTTACACATTATCCTATGTGTGTTTCAGACAAACGCGTCGTTTCAGTTTTTATGTCCAAATGGTAACATTCTTCCTTTAACCACCGAAACTCCTTGTGCGTGGCTTAAACAACCATGGAGTGTCGTCGCAGCTAGAAAGTAAATAAACAACAATATTAATGGTTTACATCAATTTACACAAAAAAATTAGAAAAAAATAAAAATAATTTTTTAATCAAAATTAAAGATAGCTTAAAGTAATTTTTTTTATTTTATATTTGGTACTTAATTACGTTCTTAAGCTATATGTGTATGTAAGAATGGAGAGAAATACACACAAAGGAGATTTCATACTTACAACAATTTTTTTTTTTTTAAATTATCTATTTGATTATTTTGTTCAAAAATCTTTTTATTTTTTAGAGAAATTGCGAAGCCTCTTAAGAATGATTTGTTGAAATGGCTGAATTCATCATTTCCATTTGGACATAAAGAAAATGATTGGGAAATTGTTTTAAATAGAATTATACAAGAAGATAGCCGGGCTATCGATCTTATGGAAATGTCTCTGGCTACGTACTTAAGTAAAGGAAGAGAAATTGATATCTCAAATATTGAGACTTGCGGTAAAACCATTCGTTGGTGCACTATTGGTGATTTAGAGACTAATAAATGCACATGGGTGGCGAAAGCAGCGAGAACTCTTGGTGTGGAACCGAGCATTTCCTGCATCAGATCAAATTCCACATTTGAATGTTTTCGCGATATAGCTGAAGATCGGGCAGACATAATCACCATCGATTCCAACTATGGGTATTTGGCGCGAACGTAAGCGAAAATTTTGGAATATCTAATAAAAATTTGAGGAGAACATTTACGCATTAAAAATTTATTATAATATTATTTAATATCTTCTTCTTTTTTTATTTATGCAGCGTTTATGATCTATCAACGGTTCTGTATAGCGAAACTGAGATGGACAAGAATAGCGTGATAATCGCGATAGTGCGCGAATCTAAGGATAACATTTATCCAATAAAAAATTTTTACGATCTAAAAAATCGAAAAGCATGTTTTCCAGAATACGGCGGAATTAGTTGGTTAAGTTTCACCAATATTGCAAGAACGGATGGCATTATTTCATCTAAATCCTGTGATTATTCATTATTGGTGTCCAAATTGTTGTCTGGCGCTTGTACTCCCGGAATAGAAGATGCCGATCATGCGCGCACTGCTATTTCAGCAGATGTATCGTCCAAGCTCTGTTCAGCATGTCGATATCAAAATAATACTTCTTGCGCGGTAAACGAAACCAATCGCTATTATAACGACAAAGGAGCCATGCGATGTCTCAGCGAAGGAGTAGGCGATGTGGCATTCGTCGAGGCGGCAAATATCATCAGTATGAAGCAATCTATTTTTATAGATAGACAACATATTATAAATATATAGGGTGTCTCATCATTAGACCGATAAACTTCAGGTGTTTATAAAGTATATATAACACCAAAACAAGTCAATTTTGTCTTTAAACCCGTGACCACAAATGAGCCGTTTTGGCACTAGAGAATCAAAGACTAACAAGAGCAAGAATCGTTGAAAAAAATTATTTTTTCAAAATTTTATTAATGTGGTTAAATAGAAGTGTTTTTACCATGAAATTTTTGTATAAAACATTTTTTGATTTTCCGAATAATTTTCGAAATATATCGAGAAAAGCAAAATGCCGTTCTACATATGAGAGGTGATTTGATCTCTTAGAATCGTTTTTGGGTCGCAACTGAAAATTTCTAAATTCATCTATTTATCCCCTCCCCC